ACATTTGCTGCAGAAACCTGAAAGGCATATGACTTAATAGAAAGGTTAAAGGTTGGCACTGTGTCGACTCACAGCCATCTGCATAGACCAAGACCAGCCGCAGCGCCCCCTTCAGGGCCCATGCTGTTCGTGCGGAAGGCCTGCGGAATGTCCCACCCAAGCAGGGGCTCTGCCGCAGGGTGCAGCGCCCAGTCAGAATTACGAAATGAACCCAGTTTTATTTGGGGCAGGCATGGGGCCCCGTTTATTTGTACTTATTTTCACTGCTGTACTATAATTTATCATTTTAATTAATTAGAAATGATGTAACTGTGGCAGAAAGGCAGAAGGGGCGTCCCCATAGCCTTGGGCCAGGTCCAGTTTGCGGTGTTGAGTGGCATTGGGAAGGACATCTTCAGGGCAAGTTTCAGTCTTCACTCATAAGCTGCATTTTGCTCCAGCGGTTTGTGAACTCCCCGGCCGGCGGTCGGAAAGGCAAAGAATCGCTGAGCGAGTGCAACTGCGTGGGAGGCATGGTTACCAGCATCACAGAGAGGCACCTGAGTCACCCTGGCTGCGCAGGAAGACTGCGCATCTGGATGCGTTTGGAAGGCCGGCCGCCCGGGACGCGTAGCTGCGGGCTTGGCGGCGGAGTGGACGTCGGGGAATGTGGAACTCCCACGGGGCCGTGTGCGTGCAGTGTAGGCGAAACGCGTAATGCAGGAATTAGCATACGGCCGTCTGAAGTGCATCGCTGGTTTTACTGTCTTCGCAGGCAAATGTTCAGTTAAGCCTAATGAATCACTTTTAAAATTGCAGCATTCCAGTAGCAGCATAGGTCACTTTTAGATGAGGCTAATCACTTCCATATGGCACTAATTTCAGCCAAACAAAATAATCCTAAATACCGTTTGGACCTGTAATGGTTTTGATGGTTGTTCTGTAATTAAGCCCAACCCTGCAGGCCTTTGAGAGCTCTGTGACGTGTGGTTTCCTCTTCCGTTCGGACAGCTTTTTTTCGCGATTGAGTTTAAAATATCTGGGCAAGAGCAGTTTTCTGAACTGGATGAGATCAGAATGAATATTTTTGCTGGTTTGATCTCCAGTTGACTCGTCACTTGCTGTATTCGCTTTGACTTGTGTGCTGTTTGGTTATTGTTCAGTCTCCTCTCGGGCTGTTGAGCACGGTGGAGGATGAGGAACCCTCCCCAGTGGGTCGGTATTCGTGTACCATAGGGTACGGGGGGGGGTTTACAATAAGTCTACCCTCTGATTGGTTCTTCCTTCCCTCTGCCCTTTCTATGCGTGAAATTAATGTGATGAAATGTGATAAAAACCTGTTATTCTAACATTGTTGGGACCATTTTTTTCAGTCCCCAGAAGGGGAAATTTGATTTTATAAAAATCTGTCACTGCAGCCAGAAAAAAGCTAAAACTGTGTTTTGTTTGGTTACTTATGGTTACGGATAGGGCTGGTAGTGGTTTTGCCCTTAGAAATGAATGGGAAGTCCCCACAAAGATACGAGTACAGGTCTGTGTGAGTGAGTGAGTGTGTGTGTGTGTGTGTGTGTGTGTGTGTGTCTGTGTGTTTTCCAGCCTTAATTGAGATTCAGAATTTACCCTGGGGTGGTGCTGTGGCCTGGCTGCCTTTTGAGGCCCCCTCACTCTGTCTAAACTTGCATTCGGTCTGGCAGAACCGCCCCCCCCCCCCCTTTTTGTTTTGATGCAGCTACAAGAGGTCACTTTCTGTCCGATCCCGAGAATTCCTCCGCCGTCCGTAACGGGGCCGGTTGAGGTTCTGCCACCTGTGCGTGCCCAGCTTGCTCACCCCCGATGAGATAATGCCATTCTCCCTGCCCGCAGTAGTTACCTTTGCCTCTGAGATGCCGGTCTTGGGCAAAATACAAAAGGCTGTCCTGTGGAATTCTGAGAAAGCACATGACAGTGGGTCTTGCTATGTGTAGCATTTGAATTGCTGTGTAGTTTAAAAAGTGAAGTCTAAGAAAGACTCCTTATTTAGACATTTGCTCAAAATGTTACTCATTAATTATGTCACTAAGAAATCTGAATAATTTTACCTTATAATTTCTTTATTAAAAGACAATCAGACTCATCTCACAGCCAGTGATTTAAAGTGAATCAGGCTGCAGGATTAGTTTTGTTGGATTTAAGCTGCAGCAAAGTTAATCATTTTATTGTCTGAATTCAGTGGGATAACCAACCATAGTGTTTCTTTTTTTCTTCTTTGTTGAGTCCACACCAAGGCCAACTTGGCGGAGTATATATTTTTTTCGTGACTGCTTTTCAACTTAATTCGTGCAACCAACAGGAAAGGAGCTCATTAGGCGATGACGGGAGATTTTTTGTTATTTCATTATTTGTGTTATCTGATGTGGCGCTCGCCAGCCGCCGGTGCACCGGGAGCCGTGCGACAGTGTAAGTCAACCGGAGTCTCCAGGACGGAGGCGGTCTGTCACCTGATCGCACGGGCAGGTGTTTCATGAATGATCCACGACTCTCCCTTTGCCGCATCTCACCTGGCAGCTTGTGTGTGTGGGCCTTGAAATTT